AAGTTCATATACTTTTAATATTTTTTTTAAAGCATAGTTGGTCAAACACAATATATTATATCACTCATTTTCTATTAAAAACATATATAAAAAATTGAAAAATCGAGGGAAAATAAAAGTTAAGAGGCAATTATTAAAGATGGAGAAAAAAGAAAAGCAAAATTAAAGTAAATAGCATAAAAACCAGTGAATATAGCTTTTAAATTCCGAGGATTTTTTAATTTATGTGATTAATATGTGGATAATTTTCTTAGAAAATGATAGAGAAATTAAAAAAATATATTGAAAAGTTGAGTGAAATTGAAGGTGGGGCTGAGTAAGGGTAATCTTGAAAGTCTAAAGAGAAAAAGCGAGTCAAAAAAGGAGTGCTTAGGAGTTGCCGCACCAACCAAAGAGAATAACTTTAAAAAAACATGTGAATAAATGTTGCGTGTGTAACATTACAATATCGGTTAAAGATAAACTTAAATTAATTTTTATATTATATAGTTTTTATATTTTATGAAATTGAGGAAATCCAGAGAACTTAGACCCTTTTCCCAATGCAAACTATAGCTTTATTTTCACATATTTCATTGGTTTATAATAACAACGAATAAGAAAAAGGAAAAGATAAACTAGTCGAGTTCTCATCACAAAAATAAAAAAGAAAGGTCAATCTTCAACGATAACAAAAGTGATTGGATTGCCCATCTTTCATCCATTATTAATCTTTTACTAAAAACTAGATATTAGATATCAAGTTTGGGTCCTTCAAAAAAAGTAGATCTCACATCAATTAGAAACAAGAATAAATTATCAGTTATAAGAGCGTGAAGTCTCTCTTTAGTAAACGTGTAATAGGGAAGCGTAAAATGGAAAGCCCAAATCTCTTTTAGGGAAAGTGTGTAAGGAAAAATCCAAAGAGAACCGTATCTAAATGAGTATCGGTTTCACTTGGATTAGGTTTGGAAATTCAATTCTTTTAATTTTTATGTGAGGAGTCGCAAGAGTTCATGATTTGGCAGTTACAACAAAATTTGAATTTCAAACGGTTCCACAGTCAGTTACTCAAAAAATCTCATATAAAATCCCCCAAAACATGGGAACAAACCCATTAATCTCTCCCAGAAACCAAAATGGAAATGGATGAACACCACATAAGCACCGATGAAGATCTTGGAATAAGAATCTACACCGCCACACCACCAAACGAGCCCTCCTCCTCCAGCCCGCACCTAGACTCCGCCGTGGCGGCAGGGCACCCGAGCGGAGGGCGGAAACGACGAGCAGTGGCAAAAGGGATGCAAAAAACGCTATCCCGAACCTCAATGCTAGTGAACTTCCTGCCCACAGGCACCCTGCTGACGTTCGAAATGCTGCTGCCGTCGGCATCCGGGAAAGGGGAGTGCACGGCGGTGAACACGATGATGATAAACTTACTCCTGGGGCTGTGCACACTGTCGTGCTTCATGTTCCATTTCACGGACAGTTTCAAAGGCGGCGACGGGAAAGTGTATTACGGGATGGTGACGCCGAGAGGGCTGGCGGTTTTCAAGTCAGGGCTGGCGGAGGTGGAGGTGCCCAAAGACGAGAGGTTCAAAGTTGGGTTCACTGATTTTGTTCACGCTCTTATGTCGGTCATGGTTTTCATGGCGATCGCCTTATCTGACCATAGAGTCACGAATTGTTTGTTTCCTGGACACGCGGCGGACATGGAGGAGGTCATGGAGAGCTTTCCTTTGATGGTGGGGACCATTTGTAGTGGCCTTTTTTTTGTTTTTCCTAACACTAGATATGGCATTGGCTGCATGGCCAATTGACTGCTCCATTTCTTTTTTCTTTTTTTTCTTTTTTTCTTTTTTTCCTTTGAAATGTATTTTCACATTACAAAATACAAATAATGGGTTGAAACATATAATTTATTTTCTTCCTTAATTATACTTTCTCTTTAATTCAAAAAATACTTCAAAAAAAATGGATGAAATTTTAATATTTTCTTTTTAAGGTGGGAAGATATTAATAAAATTTTTGAAAGTTCAATAGCATCCAAAATTAGGGCGGCTAAAATATTTTTATTTTTATTTTTATTTTTTTTAAAGATAACTACAAAATCTACTGATATTTTTATGAATTTTAGTTTATATTTAAATTCGAATTTGTTGTGGGCTACTAAAACATTATTGCACATTAATGAAATAGTCGGACGAAGGAAGACAAATGTTGGGTGCTTATGATGCCACGTCCCCTTATCTCAAACATAGAACCTAATTAACTATGTTAAATAAATAAAAACCCAAAATTAAATAATTGAAGAAAAATGTTATATAAACTCCAAATCATATTAAATTAATATATAAATAAAGTAAAACAAACCTAACTATTTGAATAAATTATAGATATCTAAGAAAAGTCAGACATCTAAAAATTAAGGCATTTGAAGATTCAAACATCTTAATTCCCTTAATAGTTATAAATGATGCTGGACTTTTCTAAATAAGTAAAAATAAAATAAAATAAAATAAAATAATTCAAGTTAATTAATAGAAATATAAAATATTTAGTTAATAATCTTCTATAAAACCAAGAACAGAGCTCCCCACTTTCATGCACTTCATCAATGGCTTCCTCAACCAAATCATTCCTCTCTTCTATTATCTTTCTTCTTCTTCTTCTTCTTCTCCAATTCCACTCCTCCGCCGGGCAGACCCGAAGGAAGGGCGTTTACTGGTTTTCCGGCTCCGAATTTCCGGTGGCCAACATAAATTCCGCTTTATTCACCCACATTTTCTGTGCCTTTGCTGATCTCAATACGAACACAAACCAAGTCACAATTTCGTCTTCAAATGCCGCCAAATTCTCAACCTTTACACAAACCGTTCGTCAAAAAAACCCCAATGTCAAAACGATGTTGTCCATCGGCGGCGGTAGCTCCAACCCCACCAATTTCGCTTCAATGGCTAGTCAACCCAATTCCCGCAAATCCTTCGTCGATTCCTCGATTACTCTGGCCCGAAACAACGGTTTCGACGGCCTTGATCTCGATTGGGAGTACCCATCAACCCCAACCGAGATGAACTCGTTTGGCACTCTCCTCACTGAATGGCGCGCCGCCGTGGTTAAAGAATCCGTATCCTCCGGCAAGCCCCGGCTGCTTCTCTCCGCCGCGGTTTTCCGGTCATCTAATTATTACGGAACCCCACTACCCGTTTCGAGTATATCCAATTCTTTGGACTGGATCAACGTCATGTCATACGATTTCTACGGCCCCGGTTGGTCGGCGAGCTCTACGGCGCCACCGGCCGCTCTGTTCGGGTCGGGCGGGCAGGTAAACGGTAACGCGGGTATAAGGGAGTGGATTCAGTCGGGTATGCCGGCAAATAAAATAGCAATTGGGTTTCCATTTTACGGATGGGCATGGCGGCTGGTGGATCAGAACAAGAATGGGTTCTATGCTCCAGCGAACGGAGCGGCGACGGGAGCGGGAATTAGCGGCGGAGCGATAAGTTACAGGGATATAAAAACATTTATAGCGGCGAACAGAGTGACTCCAGTGTATAACGCGACGGTTGTTTCGAATTATGTGTACTCTGGAACGACATGGATTGGGTATGATGATAAACAGAGCATAGCGGCGAAGGTTTCTTACGCTAATGCGAATGGATTGTGGGGTTATTTTGGTTGGCAAATCGCGGCTGATGATGATAGCTCCACTCTGTCTCGAACAGGTACATCATTTATGCTTTAATTTTAACATGATTTTCCTTAAAAACTTTATTTATTTATTATTATTATTTTTTTTTGTTCATAATGCAGCTTCAACCACTTAGCCCGGATAATTGGAAGATGAGGTGGACTTAACAGATCACTTCCTTATTTATGGATATCATGTTCCAATAAATTTGATAAAATAAATTATAAAGCAATAAAAGTATTTTAAAATGTTGTTGAAATCTCTCCAATAAAATATATCAATAAATAGTTTGGTAATCATTTGGCTTACTTAGTGACTAGAGCGGTTGGGTCTTGGCCTTAGCCGAATTGATTGACTGTTGGTCAAAAGAGATTCTAGAATAAACTAAAAGCAAAATCACGAGAGTTTCTACTCACCGTGAACAATATAATATTATGTATGAATAGATAAAAGTTTGTATTAAATTATAGTTCCAACTTAATGGTGTTTGTGCGTTCCAAATAGAGTTAGTGCACCTTATAATCTTACTTGATTGTTTAAAATTATAAAGAATAATAATTTTATGCTATATTATATCTAATGTCTACTCACGCAAATGGATAACTATTAACATACCAAAGAGCTTGGCCCACATCTTTAAAACATTGAATTTAAGTAGCTTATGAGATCAAACCAAAGGCATTCGATTAGTCAAATGATTTTATAATATAGTCGTACAATGAACCAATTTGAAGAGGAAAAGTCAAAGTTTTGAACAAAGAGAAGTAAAGAGATTAATCTAGTGACAATTATGATCATCCAGGGTCGTTATCATATTCCCCAAATACATTGACTAAATATAAATAATTAAAATAAAAAAATAGAATAAAACATGATAAAAACGACTGTGCACGGAGATGATACTATCCACTTTGAACATAAGCCTTCATGCTTTAGTTTAAGGCTTATACCAATAAACATAATATTTCTTACTTATATATCCGTGTGTTTTCTTAATTAATGAGTCAACTAATATCATATTTATTGAATTTAAAGCGATGCTAGGTGTTTCTAGAAAATCTTTGAATGGTTTAAGCAAGATTTGGGTGGAAAATTAGTGATTACCAAAAAATATAGGCACATATATTGAATATTATATAAGTTGATAGACTTTTAGCGTTCAAGTCGCTGACTGGTCCACATGGAATAATAAATAAATAAATCAATGACACGTGGCAATAGGAGTGGACCCGCACAAAAATTAAAGATATTGGTCAACAGGAACAGAGTCAACCAATAATTATTTTATTTTTTACCCTCTCCATTGGCATCGTTGATAGTGGACATACAGAGCCATCAAATTTTGTATTCACAAATGTTCAGAACCCACCATTGATTATTAATTTTTATATAAACCCAAATCCTTCCCATTTCATTTCCCAACACGAATCCCCAAAATCCATGGCGCTTCTCAAATTTCTTCTCTGTTTTCTCCTTTTTCCTCTGATCTTTCCCTCCTCTATTGCCGGAGCTGCTCCGATGCTGCCGCCCGTTAAGGCTGCTTATTGGCCGTCTTGGGTTTTAGAAACTTTCCCACCTTCCGCCATTGACACTGCTCTATTTACCCATGTCTATTTTGCCTTTCTCATGCCGGATAACCGTTCTTTTGCTTTTGAGTTTCCGGACACTACGGTGGCGGCGCTTTCCCAGTTTACCACTTCTCTGACGCGGAAGAATCCGTCAGTAAAGACACTGTTTTCGATCGGTGGTGGTGGTAGTGACAGTGACCTGTTTGCTCGTATCGCTTCCGATACCTCGTCTCGTCAGATTTTCATCGATTCCAGTATTAAGACGGCGAGGAAATTCGGATTTCATGGCGTCGATCTCGATTGGGAATTTCCCAAAGACACGACGGAGATGAAATATTTCGCCGACTTAATAATTCAATGGCGGAAGACAATTGACAGGGAAGCCAAGACAACATCACGACCCCCACTTCTCCTCACCGCCGCTGTGTATTACGCGTCGGAGTTTCTCACTTATGGTGAGCGGCGATCATTCCCGGCGGAAGCGATTTCGAAAAGCCTTGATTGGATCAATGTCATGTGCTTCGATTACCACGGGTCGTGGGACACGTCCGCTACCGGAGCCCACGCTGCTCTGTTTGACCCACATACGAATTTGAGCTCCCATTACGGCCTCCGTTCATGGATCTCCGCCGGTGTGCCTCGGAACAAGATGGTTATGGGTATTCCTCTGTACGGCAAGTCTTGGACCCTCAAGGATCCTAATGTGCACGGCGTCGGAGCCCCCGCCACGGCTGTTGGTCCGGGTGACAACGGGATCCTAACCTATGTTCAAGTATGTTTAAACCACCACTGAATTCTCAAATCAAAATTGAAAAATTGAAGTGTTTTCTTGATATGAATGGATAGGTGCAAGAATTCAACAAAAGGACGGCGGCGACAGTGGTATACGACATAAGAACCGTATCGGCGTACTCGTATGTGGAGTCTTCATGGGTCGGGTACGACAGCGTGCAGTCGACGACGACGAAGGTGGAGTTTGCTCAGGCGATCGGCCTCCGTGGCTACTTCTTTTGGGCTCTCAGTTATGATAGTGCCGATTGGGAAATTTCCACTCATGGTTAGTTCCATTCTTTTAATTAATCTCTGTTTTTCCTTTTTTCTTCTTAATTTTTTATAATTAACTAATGACTTATATAATATATGTTCTTGTTCTTGTTCTTGCAGCTTCAAACGCATGGGTTGATGACCGCCTTTGAGATTCAGCAATGGAAATTTTCAAATAAATAGCTTTTAGGAGCTGTATTGTTTTTGTGTAGTATTATTAATTCAATAAATTCTCTCAAAATTATTAAATTCACAATACTATTTATTTTTCAATAGCGATAAACCCACGTGGTTTGAGGCTGCAAAATAAATAAATATAAATACTAGACCTGCATTATTATTTAATTAATTTGAGATTAGAGAGAGATTAGTGAGTATATATATTTAATCGAAGTAAAGTTAGCTGTTGTGGAAAGTTTCCAATAGGTGGTATCTAATTGAGAGCAAACATGACACCCACGAAGTCTCGGTCGTGCAAACCTCATTGACAGAAAGTAACACCCAACAAACCATGTTTAAGCCAAGGTTGAGAAGTGTCGTGATGTGACCGAAGAGGACGGTGCATCATCCAACACAACTAGAGTGTGCATTGAGGATAAGTTGAAGCATATGAAAAGTTCAAGAGAATGAGGTGGCATGACTGTCGAAGACAAGTTCGAAGAGAGCTGGGTAGAGCCCTTTGACCATAACCTCAAAAGTCAGAGTTTCGATATGAGTTTTGACATTGGACTCGAGAATTAAGTCCGTCGATATGAAAGATGAAACCTCACCAAGTTTGGTGTCAACCGAATACTCGACGGACTATACACAAGACCGTATGTCCATTCGTCAAAAAGACGTTTATTCGAGAAGGATAAATGCCTCAAATATATTATAAGGGAGACATGATGTTGACTCTCCATCACGCCTAGTTGCTCGATATCTTGTGGCACATGCGTGTCACAGTCAGTGAGCATTCTGAGACAAGTGTTTCAACCACTTCCTTTAAAATGCATTTTCTAGCTAACTTAATTCTCGAATCACTATTACAGCCATCATCATCGTGGCCGCCATTACATCCTCGCACAACAAAGCAAAGCATATCACAACCTTGAAAGGCTCCATCTTTTTCTTTTGTCCCACATTTTCTTCTTTTCTGTACGATCTAAGATCAAATTATTTTGTTGTATCTCTACGATTCAAGAAAGAAAATGGTATCTTAATCGACGAGGTATGTTCATATTTACTCGAACCAAATGCTAAAAAAACACGATGCTCAAATGAAATAGTATGTCATTGAATATGAGGATGGTTAGCGACGGGGACTTGGGTGGGTGCCTTCTGCACCTTGCTTTCTTTTCAACCACTCAACGAAGGAATCAATAATCACCGGCCAGGCATCGTTTGGATCGTAGTTATCAAGACCTGGAAATTTTATCTGCCAATCCATCAAAATAGTAATCAATTAAGATATCTATAACAAAGATTAAGGATTCAATTAATGATTTAATTAATGATTAAACAAAGATTAAGGGTACCTGGTTGCAAAAGTAGAAAATATTCATCCATTGATCCATGATCAGCACTCTATACATCGTTTGGGTCTGCAAAAACCAAATGGTTTATGATATTCATCCAAACTTAAAACGAAATTATTTCAAATGGGTCTTAAATTAAATTACTTTACTTTGAGAAACTCGATTAGTAGCTGAACTTGGGGACGGAAAAGAGGACCCATCACGATCTCGAGCAACTCGCACAGAAATTCCACGTCTAAGCTTGTCTGCCTCTCCTCTTCAACCAAAGAATTTACAGGTCATGTTAGGAATCATGAATTTCCACTATAGTATGACATTGTCAACTTTAACCCTAAGTTTTTATGACTTTGCTTCTAGTTTTCGAAAAGATCTCATACCAATAGAGATAGTGTTTCTTACTTATAAATCCATGATTAATCTCTTAGTTAGTTGATGAATAATCTCAGTAAACCAATCAAGATCATATGAATGCTTACCAATGAGGTTATATTTGAACGAATATGCAAAGAAGTCTTCAAAGTGGGGTGGAATTCTTGCCTTAATTTGATCATGGTTATGAAAAACACGTAACGATGTAACTATTAAGAGATTTGCATATTTATAAGCTTAATTTTCAAAGACGAAAAACAAAATTTGAACCTCAATCTCGAGATAGAAAAGTGCACTCTTGAGCTTCTCCATGTTGTCAACCTTGAGTTTCCTTAGGCCTCGGCGCCACTCGTCCTGAACATGGAACAAACGCCATTGATATTAACCTCAAACCCTCAACGCCATTGATAATATAGAGAGAGTCCATGAGCTTGTTCTTACCCGATGAAAGAAGCCTTGCTTTTTTGCCTTCATTTTCCTGATACATGCAATAATAATACAACCAACCCATGTTGTTAATTTTGATTAAATTAACACATCTTAACCCTAGTTTAATAATAATCATTTTGTAATTACCATGCCAACAATAATATCTTCACATCTAAATGATTCATTTCCAAATGTGTGCAAAGTTTCTCAATTCCATGTGGGCTGCTCAAGGATAAACAAAAATTAATTAATAATCACACACATTAATCAAGTCCACCGCCATAAATATTGTCCTGTCTAGACTATTCCTTTTAAGTTTTCCTTAAGGTTACAGGTCCTTGTAAAAATGTTTTGTTCTCCTCTCCAACCGATGTTGGATCTCAAAATCCATCCCATTCAAGGCGAGTGTCGTTGACACCCGTTTCTCCCTTAAATTAACATGGGATCTCACAAAAATTATTAAAAAAAAAAAATTAAAACTTTACATTCATCTCATCAAAATTTAAATATTTTGATTATGTAAGTAAAGTAAATTGGATATGAAGAAAAAAATTATTAAGAAATTGAAAGAAATAAACGTACTCCATGACATGGTTATAGCCGGAGAATAAATCAAAGAGACGATCGATCCGTCTGAGTTGAGCCCACAAGGCAGCAGCGACAGGGGACGAAGATGAACTTGGTATTGTAATTGGTATATCTCTCGGCGACGGCGTAGGCCACGCCGGAGAGCTTGCTTCTGGTGCCACTTACGCCAAGATCATGAAAGAAGAGTAAGTAGATAATAAAGATTGAATCTTTTAAGCACCCACAAATTATGAAACAAAGATTAGAAGAGAAATGTTAGTGGGTATCCAAAACAGAAAGAGAGTCAAGAAAGGGTGTCAGTACCGTAAGCATGTTGGGCTCTGTTTCGATTAGGAGATGCCATAACGCCTAACTCAGATTTATCTATAACTCTCCCAAGGATAAACTGCTACACAAAATCTTTTGTATGTGCTTACAAATTGAAGATCATAATGTGCTTACACATTAACTTAGGTGTCATTTTTTTTAAAATGATTATGATTTTCAATTATCTATTCAACATAAAATTAAAATTTTCAATAATAATAAAATTCATTCTGATTTTTTTTAAAATTTTTGTATGTTTTAGATATGAATCCATCTAAAGATTAGATTTTTTACATAAAAGAAAGTTTTTTTTTTAACTAAAATTACTAATTTGATAAGAATTTAAAATTCGTAAGTTTATTTTTGTGAACAGATATTAAAAAAAAAAAAAAAAAAAAAAAAGACAAAAAATACAGGCATGCAAAAACAGGAGGAGCATGAAGAAAAGGGTCGGCATGGACATCGGCCACATAATAAACCAGTTAGAGGAACAGCCCGTGGGGTGAGGGAAGCCACAGAAGGTATTAACGAACTCTGGATGTAACCAAGCGGTTGTAACCAGGTGAGCAGGGATGAGGTGGTGTAGCAAAACAGGGGATTCTTCAATCAATTCCCTCCCCTTCTCCATGTTCCTATAAAAAGAAGCAACCTTTTTGAGTCCCAAGATGTTGGCATCTCCATCTGCATGAAATAGCTTCCTTTCCCCTTCCTTTTTTTTTTTTTATCTTCCCTCTTTTTTTTTTTTTGGGCTTAACAAATCAATAACAGAGGGAGGAAACTAAGGAGGGAGAAGGAAGAATTCAAGTGTTGTTGGAGATTTTTCTTCTTCGTTTTGTTGTATTCTGTCAGCAATGGGGGATATATCATTGGAAGATGTTAAGAACGAGAACGTTGATCTAGTAAGTAACAATCTTTTCTTCGTTTTCTCTCATCTTTTTCTTGTTTTTGAATCTGGGTTTTTTGTTGTTTCAGGAACGGATTCCTGTGGAGGAAGTTTTTGATCAGTTGAAATGTACGAAGGAAGGATTGAGTACAGCAGAAGGAGAAAAAAGACTCCAAATTTTTGGGCCTAACAAGCTTGAAGAGAAGCAAGAGAGCAAGTTTTTGAAGTTCTTGGGATTCATGTGGAATCCTCTGTCATGGGTCATGGAATGTGCGGCAATCATGGCCATCGTCCTGGCCAATGGAGGAGGGAGACCACCAGATTGGCAAGACTTTGTTGGTATCGTTGTCTTGTTGATCATTAATTCTACCATCAGCTTCATTGAAGAGAACAATGCTGGTAATGCAGCTGCTGCTCTCATGGCTGGTCTTGCCCCTAAAACTAAGGTAACCCATCCTTGATTTAACGTTAGATAGGAACTTGAACTGTTGACACTTTCGTGCTTTCAAATTGTGTAGGTTCTAAGAGATGGGAAGTGGAAAGAAGAGGAGGCAGCGATTCTGGTTCCAGGAGATGTGATTAGTGTCAAATTGGGAGATATTATCCCGGCCGACGCACGTCTCCTCGAAGGCGACCCTTTAAAGATTGATCAGTCTGCTCTTACTGGTGAATCTTTGCCTGTCACCAAGTATCCTGGGGATGAAGTGTTCTCTGGGTCAACTTGTAAGCAAGGTGAGATTGAAGCTGTTGTCATTGCCACTGGTGTGCATACCTTCTTTGGAAAGGCAGCTCATCTTGTGGACAGCACCAACCAAGTTGGTCATTTCCAAAAGGTAAAAGAAAGCTTCAGTTCCTGCATAACCAAGTTCTTGGGGTTCCTTTCAAGATTTGAGGTTCTAACATTGGTTTATGGTTCATCAGGTGTTGACAGCCATTGGAAACTTCTGTATATGCTCGATAGCGGTGGGAATGGTCATCGAGATCTTAGTAATGTTTCCAATCCAGAAGAGGCCATACAGAGAAGGAATCGACAACTTGTTGGTGCTTCTCATTGGAGGTATTCCCATTGCTATGCCAACCGTTCTGTCGGTAACCATGGCCATCGGATCGCATCGGCTTTCTCAGCAAGGTGCCATTACGAAGAGAATGACAGCAATTGAAGAGATGGCTGGGATGGATGTCCTGTGCAGTGACAAGACCGGAACTCTCACCCTCAACAAGCTCACGGTGGACAAGTCCCTGATTGAGGTCAAGCTCACACAGTTGCATTCAATTAAAAGAATTTTTGCTCATTGGCTCATCATGGTGCCTTCATGACTGCAGGTGTTTGTACCAGGCATGAACGAGGATGGTGTTATGTTGTATGCTGCAAGAGCTTCCAGAGTTGAAAATCAAGATGCCATTGATGCCTGCATTGTTGGAATGTTGGCTGACCCCAAAGAGGTTTGGTACTCAGCTTTATTATGTTCATAGCTTCTTTTACTGAACTTTTTGAGGTGTATTTTATTTCTCATGCTTCATCTTTGGCTCTCAAGGCAAGGGCAGGAATAACTGAGATACATTTCTTGCCTTTCAATCCGGTCGATAAGCGTACTGCTATTACCTACATTGACAAAGACGGTAACTGGCACAGAAGCAGCAAGGGTGCTCCTGAACAGGTAGTGTCGTTTTCTGATAGTCGATGTCACTTACCTTGAATCACATTTGGTTGATATGCCTAACTCTGTCATTTTGGCACTAGATAATTGACCTTTGTGAGCTTAGAGGAGAAATAAGAGAGAAAGCTCATGCCGTTATCGATAACTATGCTAATCGTGGTCTACGTTCCTTGGCAGTTGGTCGACAGGTGAATATGTGTGAATATACTGAAATGGATTCATGTATGAACAAGCTTTCTTATCAATCTTGAACCTTTTTTTCTCTCATTTATAGACTGTTCAAGATAAGGACAAAGAGAGTGCTGGAGAACCTTGGGAATTTGTTGGTCTCTTGCCCCTATTTGATCCTCCAAGGCATGATAGTGCAGAAACCATCCGTCGAGCTCTCGAACTTGGTGTTAATGTTAAGATGATCACCGGTGACCAACTTGCAATAGGAAAAGAAACTGGTCGAAGGCTCGGTATGGGCACCAACATGTATCCATCATCGTCTTTGCTCGGCCAATCCAAGGATGAGTCTATTGCTTCCATTCCTGTGGATGAACTAATTGAGAAGGCTGATGGGTTTGCTGGTGTCTTCCCTGGTAATCACATTGTTCTTTCAACCGCAATGAGATATATGAAACCATCAGCCTTCCTCGACTGAACTAAACTCGTCATTTTTCGGTTGCAGAACATAAGTATGAAATCGTTAAGAAACTTCAGGAGAGGAATCATATTTGTGGCATGACAGGAGATGGTGTCAATGATGCTCCTGCTCTCAAGAGAGCCGACATTGGCATTGCTGTGGCCGACGCAACCGATGCAGCAAGAAGTGCATCAGACATTGTCTTGACAGAGCCAGGGCTAAGTGTGATTGTGAGTGCTGTACTAACCAGCAGAGCCATCTTTCAGAGAATGAAGAACTACACCATCTATGCAGTTTCCATTACAATCCGTATTGTGTTGGGATTCATGCTTGTTGCTCTCATTTGGAAGTTTGATTTCTCGCCTTTTATGGTCTTGATCATTGCCATCCTTAACGATGGAACCATCATGACCATTTCAAAGGACAGGGTCAAGCCATCACCTGTGCCAGACTCATGGAAACTCAAAGAAATCTTTGCTACTGGTGTTGTCCTTGGAACATACATGGCCATCATGAGCGTCGTTTTCTTCTGGCTCGCCATTGAAACCAACTTCTTCCCGGTGAGAAAACAACATCAAGCTCCCTTCCTAAATGCAAAGAACATGACATTGTATACTAACATCTCAACATTATAAGCAGAACACATTTGGCGTGAAGCCCCTCAAAGGTATTGCTGAGATCAACTCTGCTCTCTATCTTCAAGTGAGCATCATCAGTCAAGCCCTCATCTTTGTCACAAGGTCAAGAAGCTGGTCCTTTGTTGAATGCCCTGGTTACTTGCTAATTATTGCCTTCATTGCCGCACAGTTGGTAGGAACATTCCTTCTTGTACTTACTTTCTAATAACCTTTTCAAAATTTCACACATCTACTGATTCTTGATTCTGCTACACTTCAGGTTGCCACTCTAATTGCGGTATATGCTGAATGGGACTTTGCAAGGATTAAAGGCATTGGTTGGGGATGGGCAGGAGCCATCTGGGTATACAGTATTGTTACTTACTTCCCTCTTGATATTCTCAAATTCACAATTCGATACGCCCTCAGCGGCAAGGCCTGGGACAACATGCTCGACAATAAGGTCTGTGCTCGAACTTTTGTAATGTCATTCACTTATCGCATCTCATGCTAATAAATTTTATCGGCCATTCTACTACGTAGACAGCCTTTACAACCAAGAAGGATTACGGAATAGGCGAAAGAGAAGCACAATGGGCAACAGAACAACGGACGATGCACGGCCTGCAGCCACCAGAAACCATATTTCATGAGAGTAGCAGCCACGAGGATCATTCAGAGATTGCTGAGCAAGCCAAGAAAAGAGCTGAAATTGCAAGGTAAATTAAAAAACAAATCATTACCCAGAAAAAGTTCTGTCATGAAAATGAAGAATCAAATTTTATGAATTGGTTCAATGTTGAATGGTGCAGGCTGAGGGAACTGCACACTCTAAAGGGCCATGTGGAATCAGTGGTGAAGTTGAAGGGGTTGGACATTGAGACTATCCAACAACACTACACTGTTTAACCTGCGATGGAGGAGACAACAATGGGCTGACTATCAACGAAAAAACGAAGAAGGAAATACATTTAAAACGAAAAAAATAGGGGAAAATATGTATATTCTGTTTCTTTTTTCTTCCCTCTTTTGTACTTCAAATTCTTTTTTCTAGGTATTGTGGGGTGGAATGTATTATCAACTGAAGTTATAAAATAATGAAAATTTTGAAACTCACTTAATGCTAAGGGAATGTATTATGGTTATACTTGAACATTATCAGTAATTATTGTATCAATCTGTGTGAGGCAAGCGGCAAGTACCCTTCCTTTTCCAAGTACCAAAGAGCTGCTTCAGCTGCATGCTCCGCCGCAGCCTTCTTTCTCAACTGAGGTGCTCCAATGAATTCCAAAGTCCTAGCAGGGGCTTCTTCTATCTTTAATACAACCTTATAAGTAAACCTGCAGAAAGATTGAATCAGAATAAGACTTCCTACTTTTAAGAGTGGCGAGTATAATAGTGTTAACTCATCAAGGACTTGCATCTTTAAATGGCTTGGTCCTTCCTCATCCATGCAATCAAATGAAGGGTCATTCCAATGGTTTGCAGCACAGGTTTCATACAGACGTGATATGGCTGTTGTTTTACCCGACCGACCTAAAAAGACCACTATGCATTAGAAAATAACTTGAAATGTAATAGTAACCCTTCAAGAACAAACCTGATGATGACTGCAAGTCTGTGGAACTATCATGACCACCAAAGGCCATGCTAGGCTTCAGTTCTAAGTCTGCACCAGAAAATTCTGGTCCAAGATTGATAGTGTCCAAGGGTGCTTCATCATATCCAATCAATTTTGGTTCCATCTTACTGCTTGACCTTAAAATTTCCTCCAATGAATTGACCTTAGGTATGAATCCTTTTTCCTGCAGCAACATGTTAAGAAATTTGCTAAAACGACTTGTAGTAAAACAATGCAGATGGTTGCAAACTTCAATGATATTCAATGCTCTGCATATTGTAAAGAAAAAGAATGCAAATGATTCTTTGGCATAAAAGAACAATAGAAGCATGTTTATACTCATATACCTTCAACTTGGTGAGTATAAGATTGGCAGCAATTTTCTCGGCGTGTTTCTTACTACGGTTGACTGCAGAAGCAGTGGCATGAAAGTTGTTTCCTTTCACCTCCGCTTCAACTGAATAAGATTTTGGCTCTTCTGATGCATGGAACTGAAGCTTCCAGCCACAACTTTGACAAAATTCTTTTATGTCCCGAATAGGACTAAGTTGGAAGCCTGAATAGCTCATAATAGTATCCAGAAAAGATAACATTATGTTCCAAACATAGTTCATGTCAAACCCTGTATCAACCAGAACGGCCCCAACAATAGATTCCACCATGTCTCCCAGAACCTGCAATGTAAGATGCAGCATTGAAATTAGTGAACAAACAATAGAAAACTCCACATGATTGTCCTTGTATTGTTTACAAATATTATGCATTCAATGCGAAACGAATACCCTTGGAAATCTCAGCTGCTCAAGTGAGGCCCTTTCAGAAGGAGGTGCTTGGATGAAGTTTGCATAACTTTCTATATTACTTCGAAGGCTAGTTGAATCACAAATCAGAAACTTGTAGAACAATCTATCTACCGCCACATTAGCAAAAGCCTCATTCATCACAAACACTGATCTTAAATCTGTCAATAGACCCGGCTTCAGCTTAGGATACGCTGAATAGAGATATGATGTGATCAAGTAATCTAGGACAGAATCTCCAAGAAACTCTAATCTCTGGCCAAACCCACAGCAAAGATAAATAGAAGTGGCAATGTTAAGTAGAAACACAAGAATTTGTTGAGTAGAAATGCAGATTATAAAGTCCATACCTGGTAAGAACCTCCTCCATGCTTGCGGTAAGAAGGATGTACGAGTGCCTGCAGTAGCAGACTTTTATGGAGAAAGTGATGGCCTAATGAATTTTCAAGTGCAGAAATGTTTATACTATCTGCAAGTAGAATGCAAGCATTGCTTGCCATGAGAGCATCGGTAACTTGTGAGGCTTCAAATTCTACTTTTATGCCGATCCATTTGAGAAATGCAATTGCAGCTTTAAAGCCACTGTCAACTAGGAATGCTCCAACCAAAGCTTCAACAACATCACTGATTATGTACAGATGTAGCCAGTGGTGGCCTTTGCTGCACTTGGCTTCCCTTGCTGCATTATCATGAGAATGGATATCTTTTCTAGTTTCCTCGTTGCAAATTCTTGGACAAGGACGACCGAGTGGATAAAATTCACTAGGTTTGAATGGCTGGTCACGTATGTATACCTGTAAATTCTTTTTAGTTGCTAGCTTGAGCAAATTAATATTTTTCACCAAATGAATACGTTTTTTCGTAAGTTTTCCTTCATTAAACTTATCGTGGGCAAGAAAAAGGCGTCTTCCTACTGCAAACTTAAGGAAAGCATCACCGAGTGTTTCGAGCCTTTCCAGGGAAATGCATTCCTTGCACTCCTCAGTGGTGAGTGCTTCAAGAATCTAATATGAAAACTCAAAGCTGTTAAAGGCATGTAAAGAACCAAAATGTTAATAGAAATTTAAAGTGCAAGACAAAGCACCCACTCTGTTGGCAGTAACCTCAGCTGCCGCTGGAAAAGCAGCCGTTAACATAGACTTCAATTCAATAGCAACAAGCAAGTTCTCTAGACGATGCATAATTGATGGCAACAACGATATGGAGCTTCCAATATCTTTTGAAAAGCCTATTATCTTCAATTGACAAAGCTCGGGAGGCAACTTAGTAGTATGTTCTTCCAGATGACGTGCTTCTGTATCAAGATATCATTTAACAGAACGACAAAAGGAAATCTTTAATAACGAGTAGTTAGCAATGTAACAAAAGATATCGAAACAATTATATAAACGAAAACTCGATCCGACTCTTCAAATAGCCATATCGAGACATTGGATGCAGCAAACTTAAACTAAATAACTAGACTAAGTAGCAAAAGAACTAAGAAATTACCAGGTTCTTTCTGCTTTCTATTGTGTAGCCAGTTTTTCAAATTGAATAGCTGTTTTGCGCAAAGAAGAGGCTGCTCAGGGTATTTAAGATGAGTGCCAAACCTGATCACAACATTTATACAAAAACTTTATAAATATAATATAGACTATAGAAGAATTAGATAAATTGAACACCAGAAAATTAGAAACCTACCTCGCTAAATGCTCGAAATGACTCAAGGAGCCTGAGTTATTGAACGGACTGTATCCATTCTCCTCACTCACAATGTCAGTGACAAAAAAGAATGTACGCTTGTATGGGGCATACACTAAACTATTCTCGATATCACTCGACCTTCTACAGCCATCATAAAGTATCAGATGGGTATCCGAGGAAGGACTTTCGTCGATAACAGAGCATGCATGATTCTGGAAAATTTGGGAGGATAAACATCTTCTAATAACTTCCCAATCTATAGATACCAATCCCTCATTATCAAGACAAATCACAGGAAGCAACAAGTAAGATGGTGATGAAATAGATCTAGACACATTATTCCTCAAAGGTATGTAGTCCTGTTCAAATTCTGATCTGTCTAAAATGACCTTAAGAAACATCTCCTGAAAACTCTCTGCCTGGGTTATCTGAAAAGCATAGATATATTGGGTGCGTTTAAAATTTATAAGAGAATAATTTAGTCCAGAGTCAGTAATAAACCTTTTACCTCATCCTCCAAAAGCTCAACGACCCCTGATGGCACCAAATTTACCATTACAGATCTACCACGTAAAAGATGAAGCTCAACGTTCATTCTCTCAGCCTCTTGGGGAAGTGGTGCCTTCACAAATAAACCAAATTCTTTGTAGCTCCTATCCCTAGGATGAGGAGCAAATTTAAAATGGTAACAGTTAAGAATCACATGACCCGAGCTAGTCCAAGACTCTTTCAGAGCAGCTGGAAGCAACATCTCATACAGTTCTTTTCGTGAAGTCTCATCTGCAACCATGGTTACAAATATGAACCAAGAGCCATAAAAACAAAATTAAAATCAGGGAATTATCAAGTGAACCTTCGGAACTGTCAGAATCAGAGAAGTCAAGCTCTAATTCCTCTCCATTTGCACTGTCTCTCATGGGCAAGAGATGGTCATTGAGAGCACCATCTTCCAGTGGGATTGGAGCATTGGAGGGCAGAATTGCATGACATGGAGTTCCTCCTAAATCCATCACAATAGAAATACAAGACCAGACAAAAGAAGATATCGCAGAGCAGAGTGAGGTTTGTAAGATACTGAAATGAACAGAGCACAGCAGGAGGAGAATGAAAAATGACAACCACAACGCTACATGTACCTTGAGCGAATAAAGTCTTGGTCTCGGTCCTTCGATGGGCACATGAACGAATATCCGTACAAGGAGTGGGACCCCAGTTGTGGAAGAAGGCGAAAAGCCATGACCCAAAAGGCAGAAAGTCTATACACAGTCACTTTAAACTTAGTGGCCAAGTTAGGTCCCTCCATGGAATTCAATGGCGGCCCTCTTAGTAATGGAGGTGAATCTGAGGCGTACATGTGTTGCAGGCCGATTAGTCCTTCTTAATCGAGAAGAAGACGACGATGAAGATACTTGGAGGACTGTTTCGATGAGAAAACGGGTTTTCTTGTTGGCGCTGTAACTCTCCTTGCTTGTTCGCGGGGCTTTCCAAATTTGCAAATAAATATTTTTAAAACTATATAAAATAATTAGAATGTTATTATTTGATATTTAATTTAGATAAACACCAATTAAAGTGCTTACCAACTCAATTTTTTTTTTTAATATTTTAACCATTATGAAATATGAAGAATATTATTAAAGTATTTTTAAATAAAGTGGAAAGTAATTTTAATATAATTTAGCCCAATGAAAAGGCAAAACTCAGATTGGTCGGGAAAGAACAAAAAATGAGCACCGGCGCCGCCCACCCCAGCCTAATCCACCTAAATCCACTCGCTTCATCTCCTTCTCCCGCCATTCCCACCAACTCCCCTTCGCGTACAGTGGCGTTTACGACGCCTCAGAACTATGCCGGCAGCCTTTCAAACCTCCTCTCTCTCAAAGGCTTCGACCCCCTCTGGTGCCCCACCGTCACCGTCCACCCAACTCCCCTCGCCATCAAATCCCATCTCCTTCCTCCAAATCTCCATTTCTACTCCGCTGTCGCCTTCACCTCCCGCTCTGGCATCACAGCCCTCCTCGACGCTGCTACTGAGATCGACGACCCCTTGCTATCGCCTCAGGGCGACACTTTTCTAATCGCAGCCCTAGGTAAGGACTCGGAGCTTCTCGATCATGGAGTTCTTTCCAAATTTTGCCCTAACACGAGCCGAATTAGAGTCGTCGTACCTAAAATAGCCACGCCGAGTGGTCTAGTGGAGGCTCTTGGGATTGGAAACCACCGTAGGGTTCTGTGTCCGGTTCCTCGCGTCGTGGGGCTGAACGAGCCTCCGGTGGTTCCAAACTTCCTCCGCGACCTCGCGGCGAGCGGGTGGGTTCCGGTTCGTGTCGATGCCTACGAGACCCGGTGGGCCGGACCCGAGTGCGCGAGGATGCTGGTGAAGAGAGGGGAGGATGAGAAATTGGATGCCATTGTGTTTACTAGTACTGGGGAAGTGGAGGGGCTGCTAAAAAGCTTGAGGACTTTGGGATTGAAGTGGGAGATGATGAGAAAAAAGTGGCCGGAAATGGTGTTGGCGGCGCACGGTCCGGTGACGGCGGCGGGAGCTGAGAGGCTCGGCGTTAAGATTGATTTGGTGAGTTCTAAATTCGACAGCTTCAATGGTGTGGTCGATGCTCTTCATTCGAGATGGCAGAGCTTAGAACAGAACCCTGAGTAAATGCAATAACATTCCAAAACTTCGACAGTAACTTTGATCGCCATTAAAGAACTTCAAGCTGAATCATCTTTCTTTATATATTCATTTGGGATCGTTTCGTCTGTGACGTTTATTGGTTTAAAGCAGAATCATAAACATTAGTACATTAAAATCTTCATCCCATTGTTGGCTTCTTATTATTTGTTTTGAATTGGTTCTCACCCTTAGCTTTTGCCCTTTCATCAACGGCATTGCAACATTAGTCTTTTCTATAACAGAAACTGCATATGAATTCAAGTTCAAAATCTCATACAATGAGCTCCACGAAACAGGAGGAACCAAAATTTTTTTGCTACATTATCTAGATCCATATCGAATTCGAATGAAAAAACAAGACACCAACACATGATAGAACAACTGCAAGAAGCTTACTGCTTTAGCTCCTCGAACACACCACGAAACGTCTTGATGCTTGCTGGATTTTGGGTATGAGGAGATTACTCAGTCCAGCTTCACAGAAGAGAACAAGTAATGAACGAACCAGAATGACGAGAGGAATCCAACTGTTCCAGTTATGAACATGATTGCAAGAACCATGAAGAGTGAATAACCGAGGTAGAGAGTGGCTGAGACAGGTCCACTCAAGCTCTTAAGATCGAAGATAAGATAATTGATCGAGTACAAGAAGATGTATATGGCAACTGAACCAGAAGCAAAGAAAGACTTCCACCACCATTTCCAATCTTCCACACAAAGCTGCATATAGGTTACAACCAGAGATACCTCAGCACAAACCACAATAAGAAGCACAGACACGATGAAGAGAAACCCGAAAACGTAATAAACACGACCCATCCAGAGGCTAGACATGATGAAGAAGAGTTCTATGAATAAGGTGCCAAAAGGAAGAGTGCCGGCGCCAAGGACTAAGAGCCATGATGGGTATTTCTGGGGTGGAATTTCCCGTGGGATTTGGTTGGTTCTAACAGGATATTCAATATGAGATGCCTTGGCACCAAAATACCCACCAACAAGAGTAAGAGGAACTGATATACAGAACCACAGCAAAAGTAGAGTAACAAAGAGCGACAACGGAATGGCTCCAGTGCTTTGACTGCCCCATAATAGAAAATTCAGCGTGGTGAGAATTAAAAAGGCAATACCAGGGAAGAAACAAGCAGCCTTCCATGACACTGAAGCCCATCCTCTGTGGTCACCACAACAGATAGTTCTCCAAAGACGTACAGCAACATAGCCGGCTGCGACGCCGAGAATCATATAGAAAAACAGCATACCTGTAATAAGTGTTCCACGGGATGCAGGGGACATGAACCCAAGAGCAGCAAACAATATGGTCACAATTCCCATCCCAAGAAGCTGAACCCCATCACCAACCATAATACACAAAAGTGCAGGATTGGCTGGAGCACGGAAAGCATCCCCCACGACAAGCTTCCAACCCGATAACTCCTCGTTCATCTGTGCCTGAGCCTCCTTATCAAGCTCCTCATAACGTGTAAGATCTCGTCGAACGGTCCTCAAGAAAATCACAAGAACAATACCAGCGAGAAACGTTATCACCATCAAAGAGTTCAAGATTGAAAACCAATGAACTTTTGAACCCTCCATCTTCAAATAAGCATCCCATCGAGATGGCCACTTGATGTCGCTCTCTTCAAACGTAACGTCATACGTGAACACTATAGGTTGGCCTTTTTTAATCTGCATTGATACACTGGCAGGGTCACATTGAATAGGATTTGGATACTTTTCGTACATTTTTAAGTTCTTAACCGAATCGACATTGTGCAAAGGACTGCAGGGTACAACCTCAAATCCAACCACCATGTATCCCAGAGCATCCAGTTCCTGTTTACCAATTGTTCGGATCACACCTGCAGCATCACCGGTTCCCATTACGCTCGCTACGTTGGTCTCCTCGTATTTGTGAACAAGAACCTTAAATTTCAAATGGTTAAAGACAAAGTAGGAACCCTTGAAGTTGATTCCTACAGGGTATCCTGTCCAATGCAAATGATAGCCTTCTTTCTTGGTATACCGAATTGCAGGCAAATTGTCCAGGATCAAGTTCACCTGATACATCTCATCAATCCTCTCCTTTAAGGTCCTAAATTGATCATCAGTCAATGGATCTGTCTTACACAAAAACACATCTGTCTGATTCTTATACATCTTAAACAAATAAGGCGAGTTCTCAATCCGGTCCCCCATTAGAAGCTCGCCAAGATTTTCAGCACTATCCTTAATGCCTCCTTGAGGTTGGCAAAAAGGCAAACTGTAATAGCTAAACGGCATTTCGGTATCGATAGAGGTTATAGAATTAACTTTCACGGACAAGTCATCACCGACAATATGTTTGAGAGGGTAACTCCCCGGAAGATAAAATCCATATCCACATTGCAAAATCAAGCAGACGGACAAGACCCAGATCCTAAATCCACCCCAAATCTCCATTCTTGAAGAGAACGAGCTCGATTAGAGTCAGATCTAGAAGAACCACATCAAAAAGTGATTTACCGATAACCAGACACGGGAATTCACATAACCTACAATTGCTAACGTTAACGAAGTATTAGAATAAGAAATGAAAGTCCAGGATCGAATGAACGAACGAACATGACTGACCTGAGACATAGAATACTCGAAGAACGATCACCGCCGGAGAAAGGAAATTCGCCGCAGTAGCTCTCCAATGCTTCGAGTTCTCGAAGTGAGAAACAGTTGATAATTCACAATTACTACACTGGGAGAAGAATTTGATAGGTAATTAGCTCCATCTTTTCCAGCACCTTAATGTGTGACTGATGAGTTCGAAGCCTGGAAGTTGCGGCAATTTCTTCAAATGACCATTGTATCCTCTTCAAATTAGTAACCACAATCAAAATTGGGAATAAAACATTGAAATGGGCGGGTATCTTTATGTAATTAAAAAAATATATTTTTTTTAAAAATTGTTTTCAATTTAATATTTTTAAAATTTATGTATGTTTCCTCACCATTCTTTGACTATTGTTATTTTCTTTACTGAAAAAACATTTAAAGTCTTTTTTTTTTGTCAACATTGATTTATTCTTTTTTTCTTTTTTAAAATTATGCTCGTTTTTTCTGTTCATTTTTCTACCATAATTTTCGTCTTTTTTTAATTAAAAAATAATTAACTTCGTCTAATTTCAAAAATAGATAAAATATTATTTTTAAAAACTAAAAATCAAATCCTAACAAACAAGTTGACCATTTATTTATTAGTTTTTGAAAAATTATTTTATGAGATTGAGATTATTATTATTATTTTGAGAAAAATGGTGCTGAGCATCAAACATACTAAAAATAATAATTTCTTTTAAAAAAAATAATAAATTGATTATATTTTAAATTTAATATTAGAAGATATATATTTAAGCCAATCAACAAAATAACTTTAAACACAACAGAGATAGGGCAGAAGTTTATTCACCTTAGAAACTATTTCATTTTGGTGGGGGGGAGGGGGACAGTGCAACAAGATTGGAAGTTCAATCAAATGCACATAAACGATGAGTTCACTTCGCCCAACGACATCAAAACATAACAAACTTCCCACATCCAGAGTTTCAATCAGCTCAATTCTGAAAGTGAATGCAACGCGTGGTTGATTTATTTGACATCGGTTAGGTTGGAATCCCGACCTCGATGAAACATAATTCTTTGCAGCAAAGAAAACGGAGTCTTCTTTCTTTTATCAGGACACAATTGAAATAACAGGAGAGGGCTAGATTTACCTTTGTTAATAAAGAAGCAAACAGATGTGTTCTACAAATCTAACCTTTGGCACCCAACCCTCGTGCTTTAGGCCGCCTAACAGGAAGCAAAGGGTTCACCATTCCTTGTGAATCCTTCCCCAACCCCATTCCTTCAACAAACCCCATCTTTGCCATCATTTTCGACCCAAATCCTTTGGTGTGCTCTTCAAAAGCACCCATTTTTTTAGATTTTCCCAAAGCTCCGGTTGTTGTTCTAATGGAGGATCTTCGACTTTCCTGGTTATCGCCAGCAGATGTCGAGGCCTCTGCCGAGAACTCAACGCCTAACCCAAGTGATTTTGGCCTTTTGATCACTTCTATGGGTCGACCCATTCCTTGACCATCTTTCCCCAACCCTCCACCTTCAACAAATCCCATCTTTGCCATCATCTTCGACCCAAACCCTTTTGTGTGCTCTTCAAAAGCACCCATTTTTTTAGATTTTCCCAAAGTTCCAGTTGTTCTAATGGCGGATCCTCCACTTTCCTGGTTATCACCAGCAGAAGTCGAGGCCTCTGAGAACTCAATGCCTAACCCAAGTGATTTTGGCCTTTTGATCACTTCAATGGGGCAGGCCATTCCTTGACCATCTTTCCCCAACCCTCCACCTTCTACAAATCCCATTTTTGCCATCATTTTTGACCCAAAGCCCGTGGTGTGCGCCTCAAATGCACCAATACTATCCCTACTTATATCCATGTTCTTGACATTGCTAGTAGTCAACTCCATCATTTCTGATGCATCTACGATATCCTTACCTTTATCTACGTCTTTAACATTGCTAGTTGTTATCTCCACCGCATCTGGTTGCATCACTCCACATGATACAAATGAGACTGGTTGATCAGCATACTTCTTGCCAGTCTTTTTCTGACTTGATCCCTTACCTGCAGAACCCTTTGTCCTCGACTTACTGCTTCCAGATTGATTAAGCTCCAATATGCTCAAACCACTTGTTTTGGCATTCTTCTTTTCTCTGCTTCTGTTGCTGCCGTGTGATTTTATATTTAAGCCTTCAGCAACAGAAAAATCATTATCCTTGTCTCTTGCTCCTATTAGCTGGTATTGGGGAAGAAAGGAGAATATATATATATATATATATATATATATTACATATACTTAGTTTGATGACCAACAACATTCAAAGAAAGCAGAGTTCTCAAATCAAAAAGATTTCAACCTGTGAGAGGCGAACTTGATCACTTGATGATGGCAATCCCGTGTATTGTGTTCGAGTTACCGTTACAAACCTGAGCGAAAAATTATAGCAAGTTTGAGCATCAATGTTCGATGACTGAAAATACAAATAGAAAAAAGAAATTAAGTTTTACCTTTTTTTACCAGAACCTTGGCATCCACTATGCAAGCGGTAAATTGCTGCCAAGCGTCGTACCTAACGATATTGAAATGTCATAACTGACAAAAGAAAAAGGTCCAGAAAGGAGCAGCTTAAAGTAATCGATCAAGCTTGCACCGTAAAAGCACAAAAATACAAGGAATATTGTTTCCACTCCATGGCACAAACTGATAACAAACTGCAGATGAAGCAGCAAAATATATACCTGGGAACAATCACGGGGATGCATAGGTTGGAAAGAAAACATATCCTCTCTGTTCAAAACCATGTGCTCCAATTTCTACAATTCAAACAAACTAGAAGATTAGTTTATGCAAAATTCAGAGGAAATCTGGATTTGAGAAACCCATCCATCAAACTCATACAACTAGGAAGCAATCAAACAACTTATGCAAATGGGGAGCAATGAGAATGAAATACTCATTCCGACAGTTGTTGTTTAACAGATCAAAGGAATGCAATCAGGCTGCGGAAACACATCGAGATTTAAAAAAAAAAAAAAAAACATTCCAAACAGTGGGAAGCCCAGCTGTTTCAAAAAAAAAAAACATTCCAAGCAATGAGACTATTGTTTGGAGGTCTTGTGAAAAGAAACTACCCAATACCATACTTGAGCTGTTTCTGTACAACAAGGATCTTATCAGGAAAATTATTTATTATTCGGGTGCATACTATAAAGTGATGAATGACCTAATACAATAAAACTTCAGCGAAAATCCAACACAAGTTATATGTCAAAGCACAATAATAAATAAGCAATACCAGGTTTATTTGCGTTAGATCAACACCCCGATTAAGCATTCTTTCTCGACGCTTTGCTGCAATTGTTTCTTTACGATATTTCTTCTTTTCACCTGACAAAAAGCACAATAATATTATATGTCAAAGTTTTACCAGATGAATTGCTCGACACGAGCAAAGAGTCGATTTTGAACACTTCATTTTTTTTTCCCTTTATTCCTGGAATCTAAATATTCAAGTCCTATAGTCTTCAAAAGATTGTGTCCGAAGGAGTTACATTTCATTTCACCGAGTAGCCTTATTCTGCAGTCTGCTTTATTAATTTCCTGGATGCCATCCTTTAAGAATCAAGTTAAGGTTCTCCTTTTCTTGCAGGATCAATTATTTTCAGCGAATTGTGTATGAACTACGAGTCTTATTCAATTGATGCAAAAAAATTTCATACAAAAAGAAAACATCTGTGCACCATTACAGGGACAGAATTTAATTTCATTGATGGAGAAACTGAGTCTGATTAATAGATTCCACATGATAATGAGTTCTTTACCAGGATACTTTCCACAAGCTTTACTTTTTGGAGCCTTTGGAGGCCAAGAACCTGCAAAATGAGCAGCATTCTTCTTCTTTCTAGCTGATGCAGATCTAGAATCTTTTATCAGCAAGTCATCTAGAGCCAATGACGACCAATTATCTCTAGAAACAATTTTACTTTTCCCCCTTGAAGGAGTTTTCTTCATTCCATATTCTTTGGATGCTTCCTGCAAAGCAATGCTGCTTAATTTCTCCAAAGTATCATCAAGGCTACTGCTGGAACAATCATCATCAGACTCGGCCAACTCTTGTTTCACTAACCATTTGGATTTTAAAATATGTTCACCCCCACCAATCCCTTCAAGATAATCTTCAGCCACCTCGTCATCAATATCTGAACCACTGCAAGCCATTTCTGCAGAGCTATCACTTTCAGACGATTCGTCGGACTCTAAAGGCTCAGAATATTCAGAACTTCCATTTGACAACTCCCCATCATCATCACTTTCTTCATCAGATACATCTTGGGTGTATAATCTCACACCACCAATTGACAAGAAACCTGAATTTCTTGGAGAGCACGCACCATGTGAATATTTGTTGGGGGATGATGCTTCTGCTAGCATCTCACTAGCCAACTCAACCTCTTCCCTGCACTCAACCCTCTCATCACTACCCGTTTCCTTCTTGGAGGGCAATGAACCAGTACATAATCCTTCTTGTTCTTCCACAAGTGTGGGTGAGTCATCATCAGTGTTTTGATTTCTAACAAGTTCGTCCTCATCGTGAAACCCTAGTCCTCTATGAGAACTGTCACCTAACAGAAAAATTGTACCGTAATCGTAAGTACATTCCAAACCATCTTCCTTTAAAGGTGGTTTATCGTCAACATATGCGACAATTTGCGTATGCTTCGAGTTAGAATTAAGTAATATAAAAGGCTGTGAGTTGTCCAAGCTACAGTCTGCATCATTCTGCAGACCTCGTGATTCAGAATGCAACCCCCCTTCCTGTGAAAACCCAAACAAAAAAAAAATCAAAGTGAATCTAAATTGGCCTCCCTCGCACTAAAAAGACATAATTTCATTGAAAAATACAGAACAGTAACTTACGAGAAAGAATGTATCAAGAAGCCAAAATGGAAAGATATCTCAAGAAAACAGAAATTCTAACGCATTAGGGGAAAATGCCTCAAAACCAATTGAAGAGAACATAAAATTTAATAGAAATGTAAATTCAAAAAAAAAAAAAAAAAAAAAAA